AACACGTGTAGCATTCAGCACCATAATTATAAATCCTATCACTGAGGAAGGCGAAGAACCAAGTAATAGTACAGTTTTGCCTGCTGGGAAATTTCCATGGGACCTTTGTGACAGAAAAAAAATAGCTAATGACTATTATGTAAATGAAAATGGAGATTAAACAAACTGAAGGAAAAGAGAAGGAAACAATGAAAAGATTTCATTTGGTACATAGAGCCATGAGCAATGGCAGACAGCTTTATAAATAGAATATACAGAAGTATTTGTTTCTAAGTCATCATGTAGCTGTTTTATTGGAGATCCAGAATAATTACAGAAATAATATTTAGCCCTTCATTTTGTGCAGTCACCAAGAACAGTGACTGCACAAACCATAACACTATGTGTTGTAATCTATTATAACTCTGTTTTGCACTATTCTAAAAGCAAAACACAAATCAGTTTGCAATTGTTTGTTGAAGACTTACAACTGTAGGAGACTGTCTGCCTTCTGGCTTATTGTATGATAGCTATTACTAGTCCAACAGTATTTTAAATATTTCAAGCAATTTATCACTTTCACTTTGTGGTAACCTGATCTGATATAATGTTGGATGCATCTATGATAATCAATTGTCTTATGTATATGTAACTTAGCACCAGGATGAAGCCGAATTTCTCAAGAATTCTATAAAGCAAACTTCTACAGACTAGAAATTGAACTTTAGAAACAAAATGAAAAAAATATTGTTTATTTATTTATACAAATTACACAATAAGTCAGAATGCTTTAGTATTCTATCTTAGCAAATTTGAGTAAACTTGTCATTGCCATTTAATTTCTGCTAGTTCCAGTGTTAAGGCAAGCTAGAAAGTCTATTTTCCAGGATTATTTTTGCCATACAATCATAACTGGATTACAGCATAGTTCCTCTGGTAAACATTCAGAGTCATAAGTCAAAAGATAAAAGATGGCTTGTTTATAATAACACTGCTCTATTTGTAATGACAAACAAACCACAGACAGAAAGTTTGTTTAGCAACTTCCACCCAAAGGATAAGCCAAGAATGAGCAATATTGGCATCCACTGACATACTTGTTTGATCACAAGACTTGTAAATAACCCTTTCAAGTGTTTGTTGCACGAAATGCTGGTGTGCACATTTTTTTGCCATAAAGAAGGCACAGAAAGGTGTATGGCCAGTATACCTGTGTACCCTCTAGACCCAGGCAGAACCTGATTTTCTATAGAGATTTTGAACTACAAGCTAATCAGCTACAGAGGAGCAAAGTAAGATTTTTTTCTTACACTAAGTTGCTAACCAAAAGCCAACAGACTAGAAAGGAAAAGGAGAGAATATTGTAGATTTGTAGTGTGTGTGCATACTGGGGAAGGTCTAAAATTTTTTATGGAGTCTCAATCCTTCTTCCCATTAAAAAACAACCAGTTTGTAAACAGAATGTGTGTGTTATCAATGGGCTTTGAATTGTATTCATCTGACTATCTTTTTAAAACTATCCATATGGTTTGGGAATTGATGCATGTTCTAAAATCCAAACTGCTTTGAGGAAGCTGACTTGTGCTGAGCAGACCTATGTTCCATCTATCTGTTGTTAAAACACGTTATATTCATAATCTCAGCACGGTGAATTAACACAATTGCCTGGTTTTTCAAAATACAAAGAATCGTAAATAAACTGCACTAGATTTGCAAACCTAGCTAGCTACAAACTAATTGATCACCTTTTATCCAATCTGTTGTGTATACCTAGCCACTGAATAGAAGCAACTCCAAGTTTCCAACTGGAACCTTTCCTAGTTCTCCATGGAGATGCTGAAAGTTGAAATTGGAACCTTTGATGTGCAAAGCAGATGTTCAACACTGAGATAACAGTCTGTGAAGGGTAGAAGGAAACACACTTGCCAAGTAAGCAGCTTTAGATAAGGAGAAATGAGTAATTCAGCTGGAGCCAGTCAAAATGATGGTGACAAGAGTAAACATTTTGTCAAAATAAACATTAATTAATGTCTACTGAAGATATACTAGAAGCAGCAGTAATAATTCTGAAGATACATAGATGTATACCTATTGGGAAACTAGAAGTGGTAAGAATGGGAATTCCAGAAGAGCAATATGTATTTTTCAACACTTGCTGAGGAAACTTGCTGTCCCTGTTTTTAAAAATGGGTATTAATTAATACCTTAGGAATGACATAGGACTTTACTTCTTACGCAGCATAAATACTGGATTGCACTGTTTGTCTAGAAGCTACTAGTTATTCCTGCTTTTCCTGAAGACAAAGTAGTTTGAGACAAGCTTTCATGAGCCTTTGTGTTTCTACATGCTTCTTTCATTCTCTCTCCAGCCCCTCTGGTATAACTTGTTCTTACCCTTGAGTTAAAATAAAAAGTTAATCTTTTAATGAGCTTCAAATCCACATGCATTCACCACGAGTCAAAGTAAGTCATACTGCATCCAACATACGCTGTCATACTGCATCTAACACAGGGGTGAAATTCAGCAGGTTCTGACAGGTTCTGGAGAACCGGTAGTGGAAATTTTGAGTAGTTCGGAGAAACAGAAAATACCACTTCTGACTGGCCCTCGAGTGGGGTGGGAGCGGGGATTTTGCAGTATCCTTCCCTTGGAGTGGGGAAGGAATGGAGATTTTGCAATATCCTTCCCCGGCCATGCCCACCAAGCCACACCACAGAACCAGTAATAAAAAAAAGAATTTCACCAGGTGATCTAACACCTAATAAAACAAGCGAAATATGGTCTAAATTGTTAAGTATACCATAGTTAATGATAAGCTCTTGGAATTAATAGAATTCTAGGGACAATCATATAGAGACAGATGAAACCACTCTTAATGAAACAACTTGTATTAACATATATTTCTTTATTCAGCAAATTAAGAAATAAATAAAGGAGATTAATATTATTGTTACTGTTGGCTTGAACCACTGAAACTCTCAAGTACACATCAGCTTCCTTTGTGCATAAGTAATTAAAAGGATATATGCATGTTAAATCACAGCAATGCAGAAATAATAAAACGATGAAGGGAGGGCCAAAAGAAACTACACCCATATCAGTTGCATCCTTTAGTTTTAATGCTTCAGTAGTCACTTCCAAAATAGGTATATTTTATACCTGCAAAATACTTATTCAACCTTATTTGCCAGCACAATTTTCTATGGTTCATTTTAGAGTCTTACCCTCAGCAGTACTAAATGGGAGGCATAGTAAGATGCCATTCATTAACTGATGTTGTGCCCCGCACATTTATCCAGTGTCATTTCTATGCTGATTTACATGCAGACATACCTTTAACCCCTCTAACAAAAAACAAATCTGTAACCAGAGACAGCTGGTTAATTTCTCATTTGCTAATTGAACCCCACCAGCACCAACAGAGTTGCTAAATTTATATCTACAGTGATTTTGATAAAAAGGCATAAAATGGAGTGCTGACATCAAGTTTTTTCCTTATCTTTTATATACATTTGCCTTTTTTAAATTTCATCTTTAATTTAATTCCATTGTATCTTGTACAATTTTTCATTTTCTCCATTTTCTTAAATCTTTACTTCGGAGTTTTATATAACCAATGCACTGCTTTGTTCAAAATCTAGTCATTATTTCTGTATTTTCATCTTGCTGACCACTGATTATAAATAAACTTAATTTGATTTAGTTTTAGAGTGTGTGTGTGTGTGTGTGTGTGTGTGTGTGTGTGTGCGTGCCACTAGAAGACATTTCCAATTACCATATTTTTCAGAGTATAAGACGCACCCGAGTATAAGATGCACCAAGATTTTGAAGAGGCAAATTTAAAAAAAAAGTTTTTGAACTCTGCAGACCTTCCAAAAACAACCCGTTTTTCACAAAACTGGGCCTGTTTTTTTTTTCAAAAAAAGGGGCAAGAATAGCCTTTAGGAGGCTTTTAGAGTGCTCCTGGGGGTGGCCCCCCCAAAAAATGAGCAAAAACCGGCGCATTTTTCGTTCATTTCTGCCCTCCCCAGCCTCCAGGAACACTCTGAAAGCCTCCTAAAGGCTATGCATGGCCATTTTGGTGAAGGGGACAGGGTTTGGGGAGGAAAAAAAATGCTGTATTCAATGTATAAGACACACCCAGATTTTCAGCCTCTTTTTTAATGGAACAGGGTGCGTCTTATACTCCGAAAAATACGGTAAGTGATATCTTCTTGGAATCAGTTGAACTTTTGCATGGATTCTATCTCACAATGGCAATTTGATATGGGTAATTCCAGAAAACCTGCTAATAGGAATTCACATTATTGACCCAGATAATTTCCAGGTCTTTCTCTCCAGTTTGGCATCATTTTAGACAAGGCTGTCTGGTTACTTTAAAGTGAAATTTCAGTAATCATCATTTGCCACACAGTCCCCCAGTGATGTAAATTGAGAGATCTCCAACAGCTAGAAAGCAAAAGTTGGTACTATCTTCTTTAGTTTAATATATAATTATAATATATACTATTATTTCTCTCTGATCTGACATGTTTTTTGAATTGGCATGAGTGTTCCAAATTTATAGAATTATATACACTATTTTAAATATATACTATAGATTTAAATACTTTTCCATTTGAAAATATTACTTTGAATATCTTGAACAGTGCATTTAATGTGTACTTTTTTGCTCTAGAGATGTTTCACTGAACTAATCGCCATAATCTCAAAATGTTTCTCCTGACTATTAACTACATAAAATCCTGTAAATGGGTTGTAAGCATAGCTTTCTTTTTGTACACTAAATCATCCCCAAGCAAAGCTTAAAAATCACCCTCCCAACTGAACAAAAGATATTGTAGATCTGGTTTTATATTCTGCTCTATATTCCAATTTCTACAGCAATTTAGGAATTGGCCTTGCATCAAACAACTTGCCTAAAATTTAATCTCTACCTGAAGCATAATTTTCCATTTTTTCCTAGTGATTTTAATGCTATTTGTCTGTCAGAATACTTAAATAATCACTAAGGTATTACCTGGAAGAAATGGGATGATTCTCTGTTTGGGATCTTTTTGGCCTCCTTCAACAGGGAATTTATCCAAAAGTTGCATCTGCAAAAGAAATATTTACTATGAACTATCATTTACCATACACTTTTCCCAAAACCCAGCTTCAGCATGGCCTATTTCTTGATTATACACATTTAGAGAATCAGCTGTAACAAGAACACTTTTTTTTTTTAAAAAAAGTAACTCATGGATGGAATTCATGTTCCCAAGAATCAAGGTGAATTACATCAGAGCTGGCATAGAATTAAAGTCTGGCATTCCAACAATTTCTATATTGGACATTTTCTACTTCATGGAATAACAATCCAGCTTGGTTCACACACAATTTAAGACAGATTACCTATCTAGTAAAAGGTACGGCCTCAGAACCACCAGAGAATTTCAGTGAAGCATCAAATAGTTGTTGGCAAATTCCCTTAACCCCCACACAAGACCTTGCTTCTCCATGTATCTTGAGAGACATATATGAAGCAGAAAAGTTTCTTAGGGATCTGGAAATACTGACTCATTGAAATTGCTGAACTTTATTGGAACAAAATGTGTTCTTACAAAGTTGAAGGTTGTATCACCCTTTCTGAAAGACTCTCCCTTTCCTGCTGACCACACACTTTCTATATGCTTAACTCAGTGCGTGGTCATAGCAAATGACATACAGCACATTCATAATATATAGAACATTTGGCCAAACGTTTACTCACAGGATGGATAAATGTTTAATCTATATACATATTATAAGTTAAGTAACATCCCCCAAAATAAAGAAAAAGAAAATCTTCTCAAATAAAATTTTCAGTGACTTGCTTTTTACTGAAGCATCACAATAAACCTAAATACTGAAACAACAAAATTGCTAGAAACGTAGTGCAGTGTTCATGACATTTTTGGCTTTACGGACTGGCGGGGAAGGATGGTTCTCTGTGTGCGCAGCTGCATTTGTGCAAGTGGCTCCATTTGCACAAATGGAGCATGTTTGCACGCTTTCATCTACTGCATGTGTGAGTGGGGATGTGCATGAATGCACAGCCTGGTTCCAAAAGACTCAAGGCCACGTAGGGAGCTACGGCCCAGAGATTGTGGACCCCTGATCTAGTGTATACATGTATGACCACATTTATGTACTTAAGAATAAATTTTAAAGTGTGGATATTTAAGAAAGCCCAGGTGGTAAAATCTATAAATTAAAATGGGTTTAGGATGCTAAGGTCATGTCCATGTAAGGATTCTGAAGCAGTTTTAAAACAACTTTCCTGAATTCGTCTTCATTCCACAAATGCAGCAATATTGAAGAGCTGAGCACATTTATTACCATTTCAGCTATGGTTACAAGGTTTTAGTGAGATGCGGAAAGGTGGAGTGAAACTGAACAACAAAATTAATCTACATTACAGCCTCTACATATTCATTTTCTAAAGGTTTGCCTATTCCCATACACCAATGGGAAAAATCAAAGCAAGAACATGATTAGAGAAACTTTACTATGTATCAGTATATTATATCTTATGCACTTATACAAAGTATTATTGATTGCATAACCATAATATAACCATTGGTCCAAGTTCATACAACATGCCAGACAATGATAATGCTAGGTAGCCCATAGCAAGATTTGATTACAAACATTTTAATTTATAGCGTAGTTGAATGACATATTAAGCTAAACTCACATTGAGTGTACAAAACATGTTGAACTTCTCTATGGCAACACAATATATTGAATCAGAAATTAAATGTGCTAGATTCACATAACATGCTAAACCACAAAGAACTGAATTAAGGTTAAAAGCCACTGAACTCAGCATATTGTGTGAACATAGCTGATAGTTCTTTCTGATCTGGTTAGAAGCACTATATGAATCTAGCCCATGGCTTAGTATGTCAATTGAATTAATTTATAGTGGCCTCTCCCAGCAATCCAAAACTGCAAAGTTTCCACATATATCGACTAATGAAAGTGACTTCAAATATATTCCAGTAATAAAAAACGATTTATCCTCTCATTCTTTTTTGCATAATCTAGCTGGCTAGGGAAAGTTAGTTTAGCTCCAAAGAGGTACAGAGCTATTTGAGCTAAAACTAACTCCCTTAACTTCAGTAGCAACCGGTCTTAACTCTTCATGCAATATTTAGTCTTCCTTCTTGATCTACACATATTATGTATACAACCAATAACTGAAGGTTTGGCTTTGACAAAACTAAAAATAGTCAGTACCTTGGAGAGCTCAGTGCAGGAAGACACAAGCTTAGAACTTTTATTAGTAGAACTGTTGTCTAGGCCTTGTCTTGGACAATTGAGGGCTTAAGAAGGCTTAGCTCCACCATGCTTATTGCTGTCTTTAGACTTAAGTCCCTTCTGAAGTCTCAATTTCCTGCAAGACTGCAAAATTACAGAAGCTTTAGAGATAATCTTCTGAGGCTAAGTTATCACTTAATTGGAGGATGTCTTTATTTTTAAATCTTAGGTCAGGAAGGCTAAAAAGAGAAGGGTCATAGCTTCCTTTGTGCTAGTGTAACTTGAAATTAATCATTGCTGAACTCCTGACCATAGGGATATAATATAATGTTTCTTTTCTTTCGATGGATGGAAAATTTTGATGGTTCTGTATTTTTATGCTTTGGTTTCCTATAGACAGTAAAGACTGTCTCAGGTCAAGCAGTCCTTAGACACTACTTTAGTTCAAAAAAAGAAGAAAACTATACCTTCTGTGTTTTGCTGTCACTGCATTTTCAGCCAGGAAGATAGATCTTACTTATTCTCAGAATTATTTGACTCTCTGGCAAGAACTGACCCAAACACATTCCTAGCATGATTCTTAGAAGTATGCTTGTTTGGCTGACACAAGTCAAACCACATCAAAGTGGTTATATGGCAAGTATATAAGCACTATTTATCCACAGCATAGATAACAGAGGCAGAAAATTAAAACTATAGAATCCAGAAATCTTCCATTAGCACAATAAATATGACTAATGTGGAAGACTGACGCTAGAACCAGTAATTATTTATGTGTATTGACAGTATTGAAGTGGCTTATACACCACAAATTGTATTGGCATATGGAATCAACAAAAATCAGCCAGAACTGCTTGCCCTTTATAATCACTTAAAGGATACAGCAATCTTGCAAATACCAGAAAAGATTTATATTTAATATTTAATATGGCAAATACATTAACTGATATACAGTAGATCAAGTGAAATTAGTGAAAGGAGACAGTAAATTAATACAACAGGAAACTAAATCGCCCAATGTTAATAGCTGAATCCTAAAATGTGTAAATCGATAAAAATTGACGACACCTTTCTTTTTTAACCAAAAAAAATGGTTTATATAACCATTACCTCTCCAAAACCCCAACTGTTTTGATCCCTCAGAAAAATAAAATACAAACAGTCTTATTGATAAAATGGGTTGGAAGTCACAAATTTTTTTTTTGCAGGGAAGGACTGTAAATGAATTGTAGAACCTAGTAGAATTGATGCTTTCCACATAGAAAATTCTGCTCAATCCCTGACATTTCTAGGAAGAGCTTAGAAAGCTGAAGTGCTAAAGGACTGTCCTCAAGTGTACTGTCACATTGATCATGTCTGCTCATTACAATAAACCAGATTATCACTATATCAAAGGTTTTTTCATACCTTTCTCCAAAGATGTAGAATTTCAATGTAATGAAAGGTAAACAGTTAATATGCTATTCACCATTCAACCTGAACTAGCACAAAAAGGTATTATTAGGTTTGTGCTCTTGGTAGTCTGGGTGTCAGCCTCTGCTTTGCTGCTGCTTTTCGGCTGCCATTGAAACGGGGAGGGGGGNTATGTTATGAAAATGGAAAATAAAAAAGTATATTTAAAAGAAAACCTATCTTCATATTGTACTTCCTATTGGTACTGTGATTTCCCCCAAATAAGCGCTTGGACTTATTTGGGGGGAGGTCTTATCTTATTATTTATGAGGTGCAGGAGGCGGTGAGTGTGGTCACCTCATGGCTGCTGCTATGTAGCAATATTTTCGGGGAGGTCTTATTTTCAGGGGAGGGGTTATTTTAACGCATATGCTCAAAAGCTCAATTGGCCTTATTATCCGGGGAGGTCTTATTTTCAGGGAAACAGAGTACTTTTGGAATTGCTCATGTGAGGTCCATTTAGAACAGCAGCTTTAGCTGATAATTACACCCAATGTCTTTTCACTATTGTATTACCATTTTCTGAACATGTTCATGTTGCTACTATATTATTACAGATCTACTCAGTGAGCCATTGAGCAACCATTCAACCATTGATCTAACTTTACAAAATGACTGTCCAGGCCCACAGGGATGCAGAGCTGAGGTGATGAATAGGCTGTTATCATGTGACTGCAATGTGCAGAGCAATGCATAGGCTGACATGACAAATAGGCTGATGGACATGAGAAAGTTGCAACATAGCATCTAATTGACTATTTAAGAGTCTGCAGACCCTTTCTCAGAATCAGTAATCTGTAAAAGAGAGCCTTCCAATCAACCTAGCCTATCAAATATTCCAAAGCAGTTTTGGGATTTAATTGACTAACTAGTTCATGTGGGAGGAGATTCAATCATGTGGCCTTTCAGATGATGCTAAACCTCAATTCTCCACTGCCCACCCAAGGCTGCCCAAAGTGAAACATGCTGAGAGCTATCATTAAATCCCTATTTCAATATGGTGATCATAATCAGACCTGTTGTAATATCTTTCTCTTTTAAATGATCATCAAGTTTTTTGGAAAGCAATAAAAAGGTCAGTTTCACATCTTTATCCTTTTTTCCTATATGACTAAGAGAAAAACACAGGGAACCATATACTAACCACAAAATTTTTACAGCAGACATTAAGCACTACATTTTAACTTAACTCGTTGTCAATCTTCACACTTGTGCTTGGCAGATATCACTGATCTGATACTTATTCCTTAGTTCAACTTTTTAGCTTAATTTGGCAGTGAATTCATATATTGCAATCAACAATGAAGTTTCACACATAATTGACTGCCTATTGTAATTCAAAGTCAAAGATTTACATATATCCTCAATGATTAAAACTCTGAGATTCTTCTTTTAATCCTTCTAATTAAACAATGCTTGCAAGTTGCTTAGTAGACTTTGGTAATTGCTGTCTATTTACAGAAGTAACCTGAAACAGCTGGTTTGCTTATATCAGCCCTTTCAGGTGTTGTATACATTCAGCCAACAAGTTAAAGTAGAAGTGAATGGCTTACTTGAGCATAAGCCTCACTGAGTGTTACTGAAATCTCAAAAATTCAACCAGATAATTGGGGGGGCGGGAGTATGAATAAGGAGCCTTTTATTATTTCAGTGAAATTTTGGAGGTTTTGATTAAATATTATTAAACCATTAAAATAGTATTGCAAGCACAAATATTCATGAAAACATTGTATATATGGAAAAAGAAAGAAAACACAATTTGAAATCTTTTTCGGGCAGGTACAGAACTGTTTATTCTATGATCTTTCTCTGATGTGAAATGGCAAGATAAGAAGCAGAGGGAATCTTTAAAAAGTCTCCTTGGGCTGGAGCCTTGGAAATTAGCACTGATGCAGAAAGCCAAATATGACAGGAAAAGGAAATGGTTTGTTGGACTTTGATTGAGTTTGGAGGCCACATAAACTTTCTCCAGGATGATCTGTGGCCAAAATGATCATTTAGATCTTTCAACTATGCACCCACTGACTCTGTAATTGCTGCTGACATCGTCTTCTTTTCTTTCTTTCTACCTTTCCCAACATTATAGATTTGCTCAGAGAGCTGGACATTTGCAGAATGTGTCCAAAGTATGGTAACTTGAGCCTGGTCATTTGTGCCTTGTGCATAGAGAACAATTCCCCATCTTCATTTGGAATTTAAGAATGACTCCAGAAAACCATATGTGCCATAACACTTTTGTATGCAACTAAAGAGCCACAAGAATGAAATGCTGACTTTCCATTCCACACACAGAGAGAATATTAGGTCAATAGGGTACATTTTGGGCATACTGATGTTCTCATGTTATCTCATAGGAAGCCTATTAAAAGAAATAATTTGATATATCTTGTGAGAAACACAGAGACTGCTCAATCATTTCATGTGGGTAGTTTTCATTATATGGGGAAACAGTTGTGGGCAATGACTCATCGCCACAAAGAACAAGCTTCACAATAGCAAATACTGTTAAAAAGGCTTATAGAAACCCAATCTGCATAGCAATCTCCTATAACAGAATGTCATAATACTTCTCTATAGTTTATTTAAACATGGCTTATACAATTAATCTATTTTCAATGGTCACAATGAATCATAAACTGACTGAATTGAGTACATGAATTGAGTACATAAAGTACACAAAACTAAAATGTGATTGAATAACTTGCACTTGAGTGTGTCATACAAATATCTGACAAGCAATGCAATTTAAGCAGTTTTTCCATATTTGTTTCATGGTATAAAGCATCTCTGAGACATGATGGATCATTTAGTGTTCTACTTCCTCATATACTTTTTCATTTATAATTGGGCATAATCATAAATGGTGGTGCTAATTATATTTTTCAGCAATGTTAAAATTCTGCCCAAACCAGATTAGAATAGCCAAACATTCTTCAATGAAGTCTGATCACATTTGAAGGAAATATATCTGATAGTATTTTCTAAAGATAGTATTTTATATTTGTTCTATTGTGCCAAGTAAATTCAGTCTTTATTGTATGACACACACACACACACACACACACACNACACACACACACACACACACACACACACACACGAGTACACATGTGACTCATTCAAATGAATCCATTCTTTGTCTAATTTTCTTGTGAAGAGAATAGGGGAAGAAGAAAAAGAACTATAATTCTTTTTCTGGAACAATAAGAGCGATTCCCCCCAAAGGGCCTTCTGTATTTCATAAGATAAAACTGTTCTAACAAATCTAAGTATTGTAAGAACACTGTTCTTACAATACTTGGGTCTTAATTTACTCAGATGTTAATCTCTCTGAATTCAAGTAAACTCTGCACAAGATTGCAGCCTTAAATCAAGACAGAAAAGGAAGAGAAGGAAATTGGAAACAGGATGTCTGCCTTCTCCAAAAACAAAATCAGTTAGGAAAACATGACACTGAAGGTAAGTATATCTCTCCAGAAAAGTTCAATGAATTGGATTGAAAGCTCAAATAGTCTAAACCTATCTTGCCTTATTAGATGTGGAGGGACAAATTATGATTATGTAACAAGATAAACACAGATAATAAAACACCAATTTATTTTCAGCCAAATGCAGGAAACAATTGTGAAATCCTCTCTCATCACCCTAAAAGCACAACTTCTGACTACTATTCCCATAGCAATGAATAAAATATATGGTCTAAAACAGCCACTTTAAAAAAAAACCTTACAAGACAATCAGCTGTCTTTTTTTCTTCTAATACTACATCTGGCTGACTCAATAGGCCCACCCATCTTCAACAGTATTTAAAATCAAATAATCATTTTCAGCTATCAAATTAGCCTTCATTTAGATCTATGAACAAATAATCTATAAAATAACAAATAAAACTAAAATCAACCAAATATCTGCTTCAGTATTCCTCAGATCTGTGGTTGTGCAATTGTGGGTCACTAAACTTTGAAAAATGCAGATAGTAGATCTTTCTACACTTTCATCTTTAAAACCAAAGTAGTTCACCTTTTAAAAAATTCTTATAGTCTCATTTCAGCTTGTTTTTCAATCTGCTCCATTTCTAAAATGCCTTGCTAGGTTTTCATTTTTTTATTGAATTATTTTGCATATACTCCACATCAGCAGCAATCCTTAGCACAAATTTGCACATTAAGAATTGATTTCCAGTATAAATATCTGAGTATTAAAGACTTAGGGATAAATAGATCTCCAGCTCAATGAAAACCTATCTTCATATTGTACTTCCTATTGGTACTGTGATTTCCCCCAAATAAGCGCTTGGACTTATTTGGGGGGAGGTCTTATTATTTATGAGGTGCAGGAGGCGGTGAGCTTCCGGGGGAGGGGCTCGCCGTCGTCGGCAGCTTAACAGAGCTGCCCCCAGAGTTCTGGTTCGTATATCTA